CCCTCTGCCTCTGACAGGAATTTAGTGCTGATGATAAGAACTGGAGCCAGCTATGAGGTAATATTATAGTCAGAGAGGATTGAGTGTTCCTGAGAGAGAGTGACGGTCCCAGCATGGACTGAGGGAAGCTTTGCTCCTGCTGCTGACTGTGTACTGGCTCATGATCAGATGTACAGGACTGTCTGTACTAACAAAGGGTTAATGATCTGGTTTGGCTGGTACATTGCACATTAATGTGTCTCACTTTGCACGGTTAGTAGTGGGAATGCACTGGATCGCATAATAAAATCCTCCCTGCGTGCATGCAGCACTGCACCATGGGCATTGTTGTGCCATGTGTTCTGGTGCGGTTAAACGCACTGCAGGGCAGGAGACGTGGATGTGGTGCCATTGACTTGAATGTATCACCACGCCCCCTCCTGCCCCAGAACGCAAGGAGGATATTATTATGCGATACAGTGCATTCCATCTACTGACCGTGCTGGAACACACTGGATTAGGTGTGACCAAGCCCTTCGATGTGATGGAAGCTGTCTGTGCGTAATCTGCTCCTAAAAAACAAATAGAAAAGTAAGAAATACTTTGTAAATGTGAATTGGGTGTGCTATATGAATGGGTCAAATCCTTTTAAGAAAAGAAAAATGTTCATTTATTTGCTGTTCCTCGTCAGAAAAACAAGCGCCTGATGAAGGGACCCTGTGTGGTCCTGAAATAACTTGTTTTTCTGACATAGAACTGCAAATAAATGAACATTTTGCTTTCCTAAAAGGATTTGCTGTGCTGGTGACATTTCTATATATTGCTGATGTGCAGTCACTGCGAGCACACACCCCCTCCCCCCATTACAAGGGACGTTCGGTAAGGAGTGCAACAAGTAAAGGGTTTATTTGTCACCTGTGTAACCCAAAATCCTTGCACTGTACATTGCATAGCGTGATCATGTGATGTCTCACGGGGTGAAGGGAGTGGGTGGGGGGGCCCAAGAAAATGTTTGCCCAGGGTCCAATTTATATTAACCACTTCAAGACCTGGTGTTTTATTTCTAAAGATGCCCGCTCAGATCTAGAGAGCTCCGGGCCGGCCGTTTTTTTACTACGGCCGGCCCGGAAGTGGTTAAATTAGTAAATTACTAACAGGAACTGGAGAATGTATTCTAAATCATTAGCAGTTACAATAAATACCTTTGCTTTGTGTTGTGGTGGTTCTTTGTAGTGCTGAGGTGAAGCCATTCTTCCTACTAAATTTGTTGGATTCTGGACAGATGAAGAGTCAGAGCCATCCATTGCTAAAACAAAGATAACATTAACAATTATTAGAAATTCACTACAAATTGATGTGGAAATATAACATTCATAAAGCCCAACCCCAGCCATTTTTTTCATAGGGAGGTGGTGGTGGTGGGGTAAGGGGGTGTTGGAAAATTCTTTGGGTTTGTATTGCTGTCTGTGTACCCACTGAGACGAATTCCTTTGACAGCCTGTCACACCTTGACAAACTGGGTGTCATTGAGACAGGGAGGGAGAGGAAATATAAGTTCTAGCCACACCACACACACTTTATTAAAATGTCATTTTAAAGGACCATTCACATTTCTCTGTTGATTGAATGTTTCCACAATTTCCAATAAGTTTGCATTATAGAAAGCATGCACAAATGCACATGGAAGGCACACATAATTGATTCCAGGTGCAAGTAAAAAAAATGTGCAGTAAGGTACCCCATGCCCATAGGTGTTATTAAGCCCCTGTTTTTCAGTTAAAGAGGTTTCTCCTACTTTGGGGATTGTAGTGAGGAGAAATCTTTCCAAAAGGGACACAGACAGAAATAAAGACCTGATAGGGATACTAATTGTTTTTCAGCTCATCCCAAACTAACAAAAACGTTTGGGCTGAGATTTGGCTTTGATAAAAACAGGATTAAAAAAGCATTTTCTTATGCAGCTAGTTTAAGCAGCAGCTAGATGTAAAATGACATCTCTGTACCTAGCAGGGTCATAAACAGGAACAGTAACAATAAAACGCAAACCTTATCAAAAGAAAAAGTCTATTACTTTATATCTGATGACAATCTATAAATAAACAGTAGTTTATTTTTTACTTGTTCCTGTTTTCGAAAAACTCAAAGTAGAAAGTGTCCGTACTGCCTATAGCAAATTCCATCTGTCATATCTAGTGCAGGTTAGAAATGAAAAGCCATAATTTCTTATCAATTTACATTGTAGCAGCTGGTATGATGTTCCAAGTATTTGAAATTAGCATTCAAGCCATACACTTGGCACATTGTCCTTGTCAGGGCCGATTCAAGGCTCTGGTGGGCTTAGGGTTGCCACCTGTCCAGGATTCACCCGGACAGTCCGGGTTTTGAATGCTGTGTTCGGGTTTCATGGCAGCAGAAACCCGGACACAAGATGTCAGGCAGACAGGGGCAACCAAAATTAAGATAAGGGTTACTGGCCCCCCACTGAAAATAGTTTTTGATAGTTTTTGATATTTACATATGAATAAGCCACAGTTCATTCTCCCCCAAAAAATTTCTGCGTGTCGCTAGAGTGTTCGGGTTCCACTTGAAGAAAAGGTGGCAACCCTAGGTGGGCCCCCTGGGTAAAAAATAAAGTAGTGGGCCCACCCTTCCTTCTGCCTCTTCCTTACCCCCCACCTAAATAAGTCACACAGCATGAACAATGTAATATAACATAAATAAGACTGACTCATTAAGGTAATCTTGGTAGTAGTAAATAAATAAACAATGCATAGGTAAACAAACAAACAACATTGCTTCACAACAGGTATTGGGGAGTGTGACATTTGGACAGCCAGGAGAGGGGGTGAGGAAACACAGCCAGGGCAGAGAGAGGAGAGACAGCCAGGGGAGAGAAAGGAGAAACAGCCAGGAGAGAGAGTGAGGAGAGACAGCCAGGAGAGAGAAAACGAGGAGTGAAAGCCAGGAGAGAGAGAGAAAGAGGAGAGACATACAGGAGTATGAGCGAGGAGAGAAAGCCAGGAGAGAGAAAGGAGAGGCAGCCAGGAGAGAGAGTGAGGAGAGACAGCCAGGAGAGAGAACGAGGAGTGATAGCCAGGAGAGAGAGAGAAAGAGGAGAGACATACAGGAGGATGAGCGAGGAGAGACAGCCAGGAGAGAGAAAGGAGAGACAGCCAGGAGAGAGAGTGAGGAGAGCCATCTAAGAGGATGAGTGAGGAGAAACAGCCAGGAGAGAGAGTAAGGAGACATAGCGAGGAGTAACATATTGTGTCCCTGCATACACTGCAGAACTTGGTAAATGGGCCAAAGTGTCTGAAAAAGTCACACATTGTTTGCTGAGATCCATGTTTTTTTGGAATGAGGGACAAAAGGGCGATATGAAAATAACAACACTCACACTGGTTCCTCCTGCACCCCCCCCCCCCTTCCTCTCACAATCCTGGCTCTGCGTGGATACATTCATTTAGCATTGCACACTGTCAGAGCCCAATCACAGCGGAAGTCTATGCTTATACTATGCACGAAGCGTGGCTGCATATGAGCAGGAACACCAGGTCCCCTTGGTTACCCCTGCCCGTCTGACATTGTGATAGCTTGTGTCCAGGTTTCAGCTGGCCTGAAATCTGGACACAGCACATAAAGGACTCAAAACCCGTAAATCAAGTGGCAAACCTAGCGCTGGGGACACAGCAATAAAATCCAACAGGGGTTCTAACTCCTCACCACATTATACAAAAGATGTGTTGTCTATACATATTTAACTGCATGCTATTAAAACACAGAGTTACATACAAAGACAGGAACACGGTACATACTAAACATAGCATTGTGTGACTCTGACTCTGAATTCTCCTTGTAAGTGTATAGAGCAGTACACGTATGTCCAACATACAATGAACAGAGCCCGGCAAGGTATGTCCTTCACACAATAAACATCTCCCTTGCAGCCCTGTCCTCTCAACTTTTCTTTGGTGGAGGATGTCAGAATTAATTTGTCCAGTCGCAGGACCATCACGGACGGTTAAAAAAAAATCCCCTCTTCATGTGGGCCCCTAGACAGTGGGCCCTGTGCAAATGCCTGCTCCAAATAAAGCGGCCCTGGTCCTTGTGCTTGCAAGGGTTTGCAAAGCCTGCTTTGCCCTGCATAATCCAACAACACCCTAAAAGGTGAATTAGCTGTCCAAACCATATATGTATATCATATGTATAATTCCACAGCACTGAAAAACATGTGGACATATAGGGGACAATGATTTTGAAACATACACAAATATCTGAAAACCCTGGGGTTAGAACCCTGCCAAAATGAGCTTACAATCTACAAGAGAAAAGTATGGAATTGATTGTTGCTTGGCCGACTGCGATGGGAATAATAGATATAAGGAATTTAGAAATGAACATACATGGTATTTAAAACACACATTTTCAACATATGTTGGCCTGGTGTAAATACTGCAGTTAATTTATCAGGAAAATATAAGCAAGGTTCTGAGAGTACTAAGAAACTGGAGAGTTTGGCACAGTAAGCACAGTGGACAGCACAATGGCTTAGTGGTTAGCACTTCTTCCTTGCAGTAGTGGAGGTCCCTTTTTTCTATACCAGTCAGGACACTAGCGGCAAGGAGTTTGCATGTGCTTGTGCTCACTCAAAATACATGCTGGAAGGTTAATTGGCTCCTGTCCAAATTGGCCTTGTATGCATGTGCAATAGGGACCTTAGATTGTAAACTCTTTGAGGGCAGGGACTAATGTGAATGTGCAGTATGTAAAGTGCTGTGTAAATTGTTGACACTATATAAATACCTGTAATAGTCTCTATGCTTGTCAATGCAACGCCAAATGACCAGAAACTAATTTATACTGTAGTGTTCACTGTGAGGCACTAGAGGGAGCTGTCACACTGCATAGCAGATTTCACAATTTCACATGTACAGTGGCTTCCAGCTTCACTGATTAACTATGATGAGAGTAACCCAAAGACAAGGAATTGCCACGTTTCCAATAACAAAGACTTTTCTTTATTAACAACAAAATTAATGAAGAATAATAATTTCCAATGGCAACCATAGATTGTACATTTCTTTGGGAGTAGGGTTGGTTACAAATGGTTGTACCTTATAGAATGAGCAAGTAGATTGATTGGGCAGTGAAGAAATAGAGCAGGTAATACAGCAATTTAACAAAAGTTGTTGAAAAGAGATAATTTCTCCGCAGTTACTCCTAAGGAAAGTCTAATGTTATGCTCCCTCATTCAACATATGTTGAGACAAAGCCACGGGTTTTAATGAGCCCTTTTTTGCTTGATTTATTGCCATTGCTTAATATTTTAGCTTTGACCGGGGTTAGTTGATTGCTGGCCCTTGTGTGAACATAGTGGTTTAGAACATCAAAGCTTGGTTTTAAATGTTGTCTGAAAGGTTCAGTGCTTCTCAGTGCTGTCTGGAGGTTGCAGTGAAGACAGCCTTATGACAGAGAGGCTTATAACCAGGGAGGCAGTTTTGTGATGAGAGGCAGCTGTCTCTCTCTGAGACTCTTGATAAAGTACAGACAGGCCCCACAACCAAAAAAGAAATCCAGCACTGATACAAAGGTCACATAGCTTGTCAGACCCAAGATGCCTTTATTATCTTTGAAGTGAGATGGCACGTGCTACCAGCTTACCTTCACCAGTCCTGATAACTTTCTCACAGTCAAAGGAATAAACCCAAAAACTATTTAAAGTGCTTTTCCAGGCTAAAATGAAAATCATCATTTTCATAGTTTCTTTCAATAGCTGGCAGTCCCGTTGTAGTAGTAATGAAGTTTTAGTGCCGGGCCAACAACGATATGTAGCCGCCATTGTAGGCGACACCGAGCAGGGTTTGAAGTGCCATGCGGACATTTGTTGCATTTTTCCTTCCCTTCTACCTAAAAACTTTACTACTATTTTAAATTTTAAAAAGACTTTGAATGCTTAAATAAAAATTAAATATCCTTTAAAAGGAGAACTATGAGGTGAGTGATTTTCACTCACCTCATAGTTCTAGCCGACCTGTGACAATGAGACTGTCACAGGTCGGCTCAGTAGATCGGGAGGTGAGCGAAAACATACCGGCGTTCGTTCAACTCTCGATCCTGTCACGGCTCTCTGCCGTGACAGGGGAGGGGCTGGATTCCCCCCTCCCTGCTCCGATCTGCCAGCGCTGACTGGCGGAACGGACGGGGGAGGGGGCGGTTATAGCTGGCTCTGCCTTTAGATAGGCAGAGCCAGCTGTCAGTCACGCAGCTGGGTGGATCCCGGCACAATTGTCGGGATCCGCTTCAGCT